CGATTCCGCTGACCAAAGAGGACACATCTGTGTCACCCAACCCCAAAGCCAAAATGTCGGAGGCGGACAATACTACGCCAAGGAATGCTGGGACGTCAGAACCAGTGACGGTGCCGTATCTGAGCCCTCTGGTTCTTTGGAAGGAACTGGAGAGCCTCCTTGTAAACGAAGGCGAGGAGGCCATCTACTCCCCAGGGGTTGTGGACCAGCACCCCATTGTCTTCTGGAACCTCGTGTGGTTCTTTAGGAGGCTGGAGGTGCCCAGTAATCTGCCAACGCTAATCCTGGCCTCACAACACTGTCGCTATGGCGATCGGGTAAGTGAAACATTTGCTTTTTGTGGAATAAAAAGTTGATATATTCCTAATTGTGCAAAGGAGGGCCTGACCGATAGATTTATTTATTTTATTTTTTTTTAAGACGGTGCCAATTCTGAAATTTGGCAGAAAAAAAATTCCACGAACTTATTCATCGGCCGGATGTGTTGTTATTTGAACAATTACATAATGGACAAAATGTCTTCTTTTTTGGTCCTTGAATACATATAACAAAGATAATCCCATTAATTGGTCAAGTCCAAATTCAAGTAATCATTACCGCATTTTCCACAATATAAGGCGCTTCGGAGTATGAGGCGCACCTTCAATGAATGGCCTCTTTAAAAACTGTTTTCATATATAGGGCACACCACATTATAAAGTGCATTGAATAGAAGCTACAACAGGGGCTGAGGTTGCGTTATGTATCCACTAGATGGAGCCACACTAAAGGAAATACAATACAATACAGCTTTATTTATATAGTGCTTTCACAAGCGCTGCAGCTGTAACAAAGCACTGTACAGAACATTTAAAATACTGCGTCCAAGAAGTCTGAATATTGATCCACGTATAAGGCGCATCGGATTATGGCGCACTGTCGGCTTTTGAGAAAATCGAATGCTTTTAGCCGCACTTTATAGTGCGGACAATATGGTATGTGGAACACTGACGACTTTTCATGGCGTCTGCAGACTCTTTCTAGTGTTTCTTCTGAGGACAGCAAGCAGGTTCTGGTGAGGCTCATGTGGGACAACCTCAAGTTGCACCAAGACAAAGTCCACCCTTGTTACGTCCTCTGGAACACACATTGTAAGTTGAGGGGACTATTTATTTTCATTTACTGTATTACAGAAGATTCAATTAGCCCCTCAGATTCTGTTAGTGATACTCACAAGTCGATGACATCATGCATGAAAGTAATGGCGCAGTTGCGCATAATTGAATTTGGGGCTGCCTGTCCTTATCAGTGCTTTACTTTGAGTCGCAGATTTGCAGTTATGGAGACAAATGAGCCTTTGATTAGGAGGAATCTGATCTCCGTTTGGTTGCAGGCGCCAACTCTCTGGTTCGCTCGGGCCTGTGCGAGGAAGGCCAGCTCTTTACAGTGGAGCTCCTTCAGAGTCTGGTGAGGAGCATCAAGAAGAGCGATATCTATCAGCCCATGAGCCAAATCATCCAGCTGCTGGGGCCCGAGCTGGGTTTTAAAAGACAGAGGTGAGGAGGTGCAAATTGACTTTGCAATCGGGCACCTGTGTGAAATCAACTCAAGTGGGGTGTTGTGTGTGTGTGTTTCTCCCACATAGGAGCTTGTACAGAGATTTATTATTCCTCACTCTGGTGTCTTTGGGCAAGAACAACATCAATATCAGTAAGTTCCAAAATATCATCTGACATCCATGTTATATGACTTGCCATTCTTCTATGATTTGATCCTTAAATTACTGGACTTTTAGCAGTCGTGTAGAAAGAATGAAAACCAAGGACAAATGAACACAATATGCCTACCAAGATCAAACATACAACTGTTTTTTTTAAACACAAAAGAAAATGATCGTGTCGTTGTCTATCAAGGGAGCTAATCCAAGATTCAAGACGACTCGCTTTCTTTGCTAATCAAGCATTATGACGTAGTGATGACTGCCTCAATGTCATTTAAAAACTGTGACGTCCTGACATGAGATAACCTGGATGTCATTTACGTGTCATGAAGTTTTTGAGATTTTCTTTCTTTCTCTTGCAAGAAATTCCGTTTGAAGTACAATGCAAACTCTGACATCAAACGTATTCACAGAGGTTCAAGTAACTTTATTGCTCATTGGTTTTACTTTTGCTTGAGTATTTGTGTTAAGAAGGATTCATGTTTTTACTCTATTACATTGGGCTATAATCCGCTTGCGACTTTTATTTTTAGAGATCTATTATGATTGCTTCCTTGTTGTATTAGTTGCTTGTCGGAGACTTCTGTCTGATTCCCCAATCCAGCTCAAATTGAGTCGGGCAGTCCCATGACTGCCCACAAGTTCTCCACGGCATGTTATTTTAAAAGATTTGTTTTTTTTTCTCCAAATTTTGATTTATTTATTTCTTACATATTGCTGGGCAATATCTGAATTGGCACATTTAAGTTTGGTTTTGTCTTCTACATTCATGTGCTGATTAAAAAAAAAGGGTAGACTGTCTGATAGATAGATAGATAGATAGATAGATAGATAGATAGATAGATAGATAGATAGATAGATAGATAGATAGATAGATAGATAGATAGATAGATAGATAGATAGATAGCTCATTTGCTTTGAGGTGAAAGAAAGTGAATAATCTTCAGTAACTCTTGTTTCCTTGCAGATGCATTTGACCGCGAGTACAAGTTGGCTTATGACCGCCTCACCCCAAGTCAGGTCAAACTGACACACAACTGTGACCGCCCCCCTGGAGCAGGGGTCATGGAGTGCAGGAAGACCTTCGGGGAGCCCACTCTGTAAACCAGATGTCATATGCACACACACGTGCGCGCGCACACACACACACACACACACACACACACACACACACACACACACACACAGGAAAAACACCCGCATGTGTTTTGGTCTTCTGACTCAGGACCAGCTCACCTGAGCTCTTTTTAAGAAGCACAATGGGATTATGACTCTTAAATGCAAAAGCAACTGCCATGATGACATCTCTTCACTGTTCAGCGCTGGGACGTGCGGAGCAGTGAGTCTTGACTAAATATTGAGGAAATTCCACTGTATTTTACCAGTCAACTGTTTGTACAGTTGTTACACTTTTTTATGACTTGTGTTTTAAAAGTATGTCAAAGATCATTATATTGACTTTGTGGTCCTGGCGACCCGTGTTGAGACTGTTGTTGAGTGTAAAGAACAAATTGCTTTTTGACAGTAGGTTTTATGTTGTTGTTGTTGTTTTTTTAAGCACTTTGACAAGATGAGCTCTGCATTGGCCCGTCAACCAAAGAATTGATGGCTTAGACTGGGCCACATAACAAAATGTGTAATTTTTTTTTTTTTTAATGTCTAACACATACAGCTTTACCAAAAGCAAAACACATTCCTCCCCATCCTCCCCAAGTACACACTTTAATACCTGAAGACACTAAATGACATGGTAATCAACAAATAAATAAATTAATTTAAAAAAAAAAAGTTAAGAAGGGAACAGTAAATTCATTTATATGCACAATGTTTATTCGTGTATTGTTTTTTTTTTTCTACAGTGTACCAAAATAACCCAGAAGGGAAATACTAATGTGATTTATTGACAGTTTTTAAAGCAATATATTTTTAAAGTGATATTTGTTGTGTAAGGTTGTTGTCTGGGACCACTAAGTATACATTCCCTCAGTACAGTACAATCAAAGAGTGGGTTTCACGGGAAAATGACTGAATACTTCAGTTGGATTCATCACAACGTTTGTTTTGTTGACATTGTCACAGTAAATGAAGAAACGCGTGTACAGAATTGGATGTGGTGAAGTTAAAACAGGTCCACGGTTTGAAACGACAGCTGTGCCCTGCCCTGACCTCACATCACTTCTTCGAGTCACTGTGCCCCTAAAGACGCTGACAAAGCAACTTCTCTTTGTACTGTGATGTCCTTGCTTGGAATCAGACCCGTTTCATAGCGTGTGCATTAGCCTTATCCAACTCACCACTTGATGTCTATATCGTGTGTCACGGTTAACCACTGTACGTTTGTTATTCACCGTTTGTAAGGTGGACAACTAATTTATATGAAACTACGTTCAAAAGAAGTGAATCTGTTATTTGCGTTTATTTCGTAATAAAAGCGCACCAACATTATTGGATATGTGATTCTTTAAATTGCTGATGGCCATTAAAGTGATTTAAACTGTGACTAAGCAAAATGGTCTACAATGAAATGAAAACAAAAACGGTCATACTGTACTTGTATAAGGGGCCATCTGAAACAACTGAAAAATGATTCTCACACAACTGGAACGCTCTCACGCCTATTAAGGGAAAACTAGGTCACACCCATGCTACTTAAAAATTATTCACTCACACACACTACCGAAATGATCTCACACTATTGAAATTAACTGACACTACTGAAACATTCAGATTCTTGCATGTAGACATCACTGGGGCCTTCTCATTTCATTGTTATCATAGCACATCATCGTAAAATGTTCATACAAAAAAAATCTTCACACGCAACAGAAATGCTCTCACACATAAAAACGCTCACGTCACACTAAATCACACAACTGAAATGCTCTCAAAGGTCACACTAAAACGCTCACGTCCATAACATATGTCACATATGAGCACTCACGCTTTAAACTAACAGGCACTCAACTGTCTCAACTACTCTCACACATCATACTCAAACAGTTATGAAATATACTCAAATACACTCACATTCTGAAATACTCTCACATTATACCCCAACGCTCATAAAATATGCTCAAATATGCATATACTGAAATACTCCCACACAATTGAAATCATCTCACACATCATAATATAACAATCTCTTGCACACAAACAGCTGAAGCACTCATACTCAAATCCTCTCACACATGTGGAAATGCCATCATGTAAAATAGTCAAATAAGTGTCAAAGTAGTGTGTGTGTGTGTGTGTGTGTGTGTGTGTGTGTGCGTGTGTGTGTGTGTGTGTGTGTGTGTGTGTGTGTGTGTGTGTGGAGGGGGATGGGGACTGTGAGAGAGTCATATTACTGGATTCATGTCAGTGGTGCGTGTGAGAGCATTTTAGTAGTTGGCATGATAGGTAATATTTTTAATGAACTAATTATGTTCCTGATGGTGCCTTGTAATGAGAGGCACATTTAGTTGAAAACAAGTCTTTCCAGTTTTACTGAAAAGCTTGAGGTTAGAACTGAAATCCTCTCACACATATCACTGAAAGGCTTTCAAATAATATACTCAACTGAGAGTGAATCCTGCATGAATTCTCAATGTTCTGCAATACGCGCAACATGCTGAGGACATGTCGGCGCTGAGAGACCGCATGGTGTAACGTAACCTTCAGACGGAGACGGGACAGACGATGATGCGGTCTTCCAACATGACGCTGAGCACCAGGAAGATAAAGTAGAGCAGGAACATGGTGAAGCCCAGAGTCTTGTTCATCTTCCATTTGCACGACGCGATGGAGATGATGACAAAGAGCAGCATGAGGAAGAGCAAGACAATGGCGCAAAAGAGCCCGTTGCTGCTGACGGCCACGGGGACCAAACCGTGGATGAACGAGTAGATCAGCCACGGCAGCGGCAGACTGAAACATACACAGCGAGAGAAACAGTGAAGAATTAAGTGACTGTTGTGTCATTGTGCTTCTCCGATGTGGTTTGAATGAATGAGCCATCGATAGGCGATATGTAAAATGGCGTTGGGAGTCTGTATCAATTGATCACTTTGCCTGGTTGTTAGCGAGCGAATTAGTACGTTAAAAAGAAGAAGAAGAAAAAAGGAAGAGCCCAGAAGGTTAAAACTCACCCCACAGTGATGTCAAAGATATTGCTGCCCACCGAGCTGGACACGGCCATGTCTCCAAGTCCTTTCCGGGCCACGATCACGCTGGTGATGAGGTCAGGGATGGACGTGCCAGCGGCCAGGATAGTCAGGCCCATTATCTCCTCAGAGATTCCGATTGTCTCGCCCACCTGTATGGATAAAACAGAGTTCAACTACAAGTATTGTGTTGCTGATTTGTTGAACTTTATTTCGGGGTCAGCCTTCAAGTGTCTCCAGTTGGTCCAAAACGCTGCTGCTTACCTCCTAACTGGAGCTTGTATACGGAAGCACATAACTCCACTTCTGACCTACCTTGACTGGCTCCCTGTATGTATATTTTTAGAGTTGCACCAAAATTTCAACTTCTCATATGTCATAAATAAGCGAGATATTGTAAGATTTTCTTGTTACCAAAACCCCTCATTACAGTAGTTGACTTCTTTATATGGTACGATGATTGCTAAAATCGGTCCCAAAATTTCAACTTCTTATATGTAATAAATAAGCGAGTTATTGTAAGATTTTCTTCTTACCAAAACCCATCATTACAGTAGTTGACTTCTTTATATGGTTTCACAGTCATTATGGCCGTCCAAGGGAAACGGTCACTAAATGTGGCCTGCGACAAAAATGAATTTGACACCCCTCCTTGAAATGGTCTCACCCCACCTTCCCTCTCTGAGCCTGTCTACCTCTACACACCTGCCCAGTGCCTCAGGTCAGCGAACCAGCGGACGTTTACGTGTGCTCATCAACGCGTGGTTGTAAAATTTGAACTTGTCCTGTGTGTCCGCAGTCGCTAACCTGATGAGCCCACCACACCATAAGATAAGAGAAGATGGCGATCCACAGAATGGAGCCCAGGAAGGTGAACACGAAAAATTTCCTGGAATTCTGTCAGAAAAAGCAAAAGTCACATTTTACGTCTATCTTGTCGTCATTTTACGTCTCGTTATGATTGCAATATTCGACTGCGGTGACCTGTTTGCGGACATCGGGGACGGTGAGCCACAAAGGAAAGACGATGGGCAGCAAGAAGAGGTAAGTGACTTGTTTCCGCCGTGTGTCGGGCCATTCTAAAGACAGAGGCTCCTCCTCGTTCTCCTCATCTTCGCCGGAATCATTTTCGCTGTCATCTTCATCACTGTCATCTTCATCACTGTCCTCCTCGCCGCTGCTTGACTCGTCTGACCCGTCTCCCCCCGCGGGCTGGTCTTCCTGCAGTGTTGGAAGAAGACATATACTGGACACAAGTATGAAGTACGGAGCATGCTGCATGCTGCATGCTGCATGTTCACCTTACATAGTAAGGTATCAAAGATTGACTTCGGGGCTTTTTGACATGTGTGGTGGTGAGTACCTTGTCATCGTCAGGTGGCTCGTTCTTCTCAGTTTCGCCCGTCGTAGCGGCTTCGTCCTCTTTGGCCTGCTCCTGACCACCGTCTCCATCTAACAAGTACATCATACGTTTCTACTGCTCAGCTCTTTGTGAGAGCCAGTGTGATATATTGAAGAGAGTATCATTCACGTCCTATTAATCTTGCGTTATTCCACCGTGTAGTCCGCAAGCCACCAATTATATCTCCTTATTTATTTGAAAGGGACGGCGCAATTTAACCCTTTCATGCACCCTGTAACCTGATACCATAAGCTGTCCAGTGTAGTAACCGTTGTTCCCGAAAGGGTTAAAATCGTGACCATGATACCCAACTGGTGAGCTTCGAACTCTTGTCCTTAGTTGTGACATATCAATATTGAATTTAACGAAAGTTTGGGAGGTACTCGTCTTCTTCCTGACTTACATTGAAAGTGCCCTTGAGCAAAGCCGCGTGTACAATAGAATGTGTGTTTGCGAGTTACCTTCACTCTTTGCTGCAACATCACCTTCAGCCTTCCGTCTCACCACATTATTCAGATTCTCAGCCTTGTCCTTGAATTTGCCTGCAAGCGTTCACACCAGAACAAAGAAACAGCCGACAGCGTTCATCGGTGTATCGACATCGTCGCACAGTCAATTGCAGAGTGATGGAGGAACAGTCGGGCGTTCAACACAACTCAAAAACTTTCAAAATAAAGGAGGGCATAGACAAGACGATGACTGTCTCAAAGTACTTGTTGTATTATCAAATGGACTCGTACTGTGGAAGATACACATACTGGCCACAACATTAGGTACAGCTGCACCGTGGAATAAGAGGACGCTGAACAGCATTAATTAGCTTTGTTGTTCTAGTCCTAAGATGGTCACATATACATGACATGAAGTAGAGTGTTAAGATCGCCACTCAAAGACGTAAATATAAATAAAAGTGAAAAGAAAAAAAACAGATAGGGCTCATTTTCAGAACTAGCGTAAACCCGCGCGGCACATGCGTATCTCTGCGATGTTGGTCATTTCTCAGAGTAGCGCGGGATGGTGGATCTGCAAGAGGGAGCACTGCGCCACTCTAAAAGTGGTCAAAACCAATTTCAATCATGGCCAATCAAAGCGGCTCAGTTCATTCCCTTTAAATATGGCGCACTAGAGTCCCACATGGAATAAGCACATCTGCACCACGCAATGCCAATAATACCAAAGTGACTAACACATGAAGAAAATATATTACATTCTTATCCAGATCCACAGCTGTTTTTCATTTCTCTATTTGACATCCAGTACTTCTCAATTAAGTAAACCAAGAATGGCCAAACATAATGATGATGACAGTGCAGTTGATGTGTGCTTGTCATGGTGGAGCTCACCTTCTCCCAGGGGGTCTAATGTGTGTATCATGAGTTGAAAAATGGTGTTCCTCATGGTGCTGTTGTGCAAAGACGCTGAACTTCCACCGCGCTGAAGGGATGGCTTCAACTAGGGCGAAACAATACGAATGGCGTTGCTGGTGAAACGCGAGCAAAAATGCATCGTTATCAGCTGCGAGACATTTGTTGTTGCCATGGCAGCGCCATGCAAATGAACAGCACGGAGGTCAATTAAGCATGAAGAGAAATGAGTGAAAATGGTCAAAAATGTTTTCCGCTTTTACCTTTAACCGATTTCTGTCGTCTGGTGGAGGAGGACCGTTATCTTGACTGCCCCCATTGGCTTTGGTCTGCGCGGAATGAATTTTTAAGCAAAAAAAAAAAAAAAAAATTTCATTCAGTTGGTGGTTTTGTATCAGTCCTTGTTTTCAGCATTGTCATTTTTTTTGTTTTGCGCATGGGAGTTGAAACGTATCGGGCATGACAAACATTTTTACAATTGATGTGCGTATACAATTTCCCAGCAGATTGAAACTGTGAATGTGCATCTGCATTTTGTCACGTGAGCTTGTTCACAAGTGAGTAAAGACACTTGATGTGGGCGCCACTCTGGGCGCAGCTCGGCATTCCCTTGAGGGATTGTGTCGCTCAGTTTGGCTTTTGGGCATTTCAGTGTGTCACTTCACTCTTGGTGACACATTCATAAACATGTCAGTAAACATGTCAGGATTGAAAGGGTGATCCTTTTAAGGAATAAACCCGACGATGACAAAATCATGGCCCCCATGATTGGATTAGCGGTATCGTGGATGGACAAATGTTTTGGGACAGTATAGCGAATGAAAAGTCGAGAATACAAAGATCAGTTATGGGCATGGTTATAATAGTTTTTGATTTATCATTATAGTGACATTTTATTTTACATTTACATTTTTTTTGTTTTGTTTTTGCTTTTAGTTTTAATGTTTTTAGACCTGGTTTGTTAAATTTTATCTTTGAAAAATGTTTTGTTTTGGTATAGTTTTTATTAGTTTGAGTTTTATAAAATATGTATGTGTCTGTTTGTGTGTGTGTGTGTGTGTGTGTGTGTGTGTGTGTGTGTGTGTGTGTGTGTGTGTATGTATATATATATATAATATTCCCATTCCCGGAATTCTATGAAAAGGAATTTCCTTCACCCGGAACAAAAACCTATGCATTAACATTTTGACTACGATACACGCACACACACACACACCAGTGGCCCTAATGAGGTCAAGCACTCTAAATAATGGATGAGTGGATACATGGCTTTTGGTGTGTACCAAAAAGTCTGTGTTATATAGGGACTGCCTTGTTCTGTTCTAAGAAGTGTTTGATAAAACAAATGTTCTTACCACTTCTGGCTCCTCATCAGTGATGATTCGGACAATGCTCTTGTGTTTGTAAAGCTGCGTTTTGAACATGTATTCTATTTGGGCGTTAAACTTCATGAAGATGACATAGAGCGTGTAGCTGGCCACCAGCATCATACTCTCCCACCACATGATGACATTGTCCAGGAAGAAGATGATGAGCAAGATGAGGTCCACAATGTAGAAGGAAATATCTCGGAAAAGAGGCCACCAGGTGAGACGAAGAACCTCCCGGGAAAACAAAGCGCACATCCCGATCACAAAGAGGATGTTGAAAACTGCGGAACCGACGATCGTCCCGATACCAACGTTACTATGAGCTATGAAGACCCCGATCAAGGAGGTGAAAAGTTCAGGGGCAGATCCTCCGGCAGCCATGAAAGTAGCCCCCGCCACATCATCGGATATCTCTAATTTGTCTATGATGACCCCGAGTGCGGGTACGAAGAATTCATCACACACAATAGCAAGTGACACAAACATGTACATCATGCCGGAAATGTGCAAGACCACCCAGCCTCGTCTGCGCTCCTCCACTGAGAAAATATCTTCCGGATACTCTCCCTTCATGTGAGGAGCTTCACCAGGAGAAGATGGAGTGGGGGCCTCCTCCTTGGGATCAGGCGGGACATAGATGCAATGCACAATAGTCCGGTTGGTGGTTGCTGGCGGTGGAGTTCTCGAAACAGTCGAGTTGGAAGGGGTCGCCTGTGTCGTTTGGTTTCTTGGCTTCTCCCGACCCTCGGCCGTGACATCCTCGACCCATCCAGCCGAGCCCTCAGTGAAAGCGTCTCCGATCTGAGGCAAAGGCGACAGTTCATCGTGTTCGGCGCTGATGGTCAGCTGGTACACGATGCAGATGAAGACCCCGGCCAGGAGGAATAAGACTCGCCTCAAACGAAGTCGCTTCCTTCCTGGACAATACATACTGTATATTCAGATTCTGTGTGTGATTGTGGATTTCGATGCATTAAGGGCAATCCAGCTCTCAGTCCAATAGTCCAGATCGCCCCCTATCTGATTGGGGCTCATAGGATCCCGCACCTCTTTGGCGTGTTTCATTTCGCATCCTTGGGCCACCTACCGTGCAAAAATAAAAACAGATTATTATGAGGGCCTGAGCAACAGGTGTTCGAATGTCCGCTTAGAATTGTCACTGTTCTTCTTCTGACCTCACCAATATTGGCAAATACCCTGCTGAAAATGTGGGTGTTATAGGGGTCTTGAAACGACTCCCCCAATGACCCCTCAGTTGCACCCCCTGGAAAATTAGAAAATAAGGCAACATTAGTTTTAAAGCTCTGAAGGACACATGCCTGAAACTGAAGAGCAAAACGGCCATTTTGGGCCAATTCTCTGACTTTGACATTCCCGAACTCTGGAATTCAAATGAGCCCCGATCAGAAGCGGGTATTCTCGATAAATGGGTGATGCTTCAAGTTATAATTATTAAAGGGGAAGTCAACCCCCAAATTGTCTTTACAATAATATGTTCTCTGCAGCCTCACTAGTCTGAACACGTCATTCTGATGAATATTACATTTGTGGAATGTGAGTTAAGCAGTAAAATCCACCCCTTTTTGCCCATCACAGGGGGCGGCCATTTTGTTACTTGCTGTCGACTGAAAATGACATCACAGTTGCTCAGGGCTCAGGAAACAACCGTTCAGCTTTAGAAAACAGGTGAGCCGTAATTGGTCGTTACCTGAGACTGAGCAACTGTGATGTCATTTTCAGTTGACAGAAAGTAGCAAAATGGCCACCCCCCCCTGAGATGGATAAAAGCCGGTAGATTTTGCATATTCACTCATACAGTATTCCACAAACGCAATATTAATCAGCAAACTAGTGGGGCTGCATCAAACATAATATTGTCAAGTATTTTGGGGGTCTGATTTCCCCTTTATCAACACTATTCTTATTGCTTACTAGATCTCAACGAACAAGGATTGTTTTGAGCTCAACACAACCACAGAAATGACATCAAATATAAATATTTGCTGGGTTTTACAAATATGAAAACAACACTGCATTTAAAATAAAAAGATGCAAACTTACCAAAATTCTGCTGGGCCAGAGAAGGCAGGGAAACGTCTGACAATCAGAGTGAAGCTTGAGCCGGTGGAGCGGGACACACACAAGCGAGCAAGCAAACAGTTTATGTAGGACGCAGGACGCGTCTTCACAATGGATCAGCATAATAGCTAATACCTGCAGGCTTTAAGAAGATTAGCTACTGTATACCGTATTGTCTCACTCTCACTTCATCGTGGCCCACCTCACGAATATTTTCACATTCGTACCAAATACTTCGTGGCATTTATTTATTTGTAATTACAAATAAATCTCGCGGCATTTTAATTAAATCAATTTGTATGATTTGTCCAAATGGCAGAATAATGGTCTGTCTTTTTGGCTTATATTTGTGTCTTATATTTGAATGCTCCTCGTTGGAAGGTACCTTGCATTTTGTAATATTTCAACTAGCGGTTCCATTTCAATTGAAAAGCACATTTATTTTATGTCCACCTCCATTTTGGCATTGCAATTGAACTTGAATGCAAGATTCACTACAAATTGTAAATTCTTGACGTCAAAGTAATTCCAAAATGCAATGTAAAAATACAACATTTTATACTAAGCACATCCTGGATTCGGGAGGAGCAATTTGGTTTTGGTCCTGGCCGTGCTGCCTCCACGACCTGATCCCGGATAAGTAGTAGAAAATGGTACATTATGGTATGGTATTAAGCACAAAAATATAACATTTTGTGCTTATACAATACAAAACCATCTATTTAATTTATATAGCACTTTTCACTACAGCTGACTACATTTGACATTAAACAACAATAATAGAACAGAACACGTCACAAAGAACCTCGGTGTGTATATGAACAGCAAAACAGGCCATATGATGAGCAAATCATTTTTAATACAGTGCGTCAAAACATGTACAGTGCTCTGTGCTCCCTAATGGAAAACAGATCTTTCGGGTACTCCCTCTGCATGTGAGGAGCATCACCAGGAGGTAAAGATGACGTGATGGTTCCTCCAAAAGCGAGGGACTGATTGATGTGACGCAGACATGTACTGTAGTTGGTAGTGATGGGCTGGTGATTTCCATTTCGGTCTGTGGTGGTGTTATGGCCTCTAATGTTGCATTGAAAGGTGGATTTTTTTTATGCTCTCTTTTGAGTCTTTCACAACATTCTCTCCAGTCTGAAGTGTTGGCAAAGTGTTTTACAATCTGAAGAATAGAACAGGGAGAAGTACAAATAGCTGCAAATGCCTTCTTTGTGTAAAATACATTTTGTCTCTCAAAAGAAACTAAGTCAAGCGTGTGTAGTGGTTCACTCTGCTCTCTTCTGTGTAGACAATACGGGTTGAGTTCTTACGCAGTGAGTGTGAAAGGTTTTCTATCATTTGTAAGGACTTGGGCTTTGGAACCAGAGGGTCATGATTTGAGTCCAGCTGTGGACAAAAGAAAACATTTAGACATTGAAGAGATGCTAGGTTGTTTAAAGGACAGAGCGATTATGAAAAATAATGTAATTGCATTTTTTCCCTTTTTGTGAGTGCTATTAAAATGTGATGTTTCCATATGTGTGTGTAGTGTAGTACGGGTGACATGGTCGTGGATTTTCCCACTCCCACAGAAAAATCCTGCACGAGTCCCGGACCGTAGTGGGGGAAAAAAAACATGAAAATTGCTCTTCCAAAAAAAAAAAATTAAAAAAAAAAAACAAAAAAAAAACAAGATAAAATACTACTACTACTAATGATAATAATAATGATAATAATAATTATATAGAGCGGAACCCTGTATTGTTGTTTGTTGCCTACTCGGACGGGAAAAGAAATGCGCATTCAAGACTTAAAGCACTCGATGGCTCCTAAGGGCAAAGCGCGAGCTTCGGCTTAGCTTTAGCAACTCGACAACTTTATGAGAAACACAACAGTTCAACACGAAGCGTTCGACTCACCCGAATTGTTAAATGGTTAACTCACAACATCCCCATTTAACGACGCCTAGTTTCTAGCTTCCTGCATTGTAAAATTAGCTTTAAAAAATGATGGACGTTTCCGTTAGCACATCCTCCCCAGACCGAAGCTAACGTCTACGTAGCTAATATCTCGCGTTCCCCCTCAATTCCTCTTCTTCGGGTCCTCAACACCGTAGCAGTAAATCATGCCTACAGTGGTGTTGATGGACGCGTCCCTGTCTATGACGAGGCCGGTGTCACAGGACAGCAGCGAAGAGTTCCAGAGGAAGAACTTGGCCGTCCATGGGCTCAATATGTTATTCGAGCACATGGCCTCCAACTACCGCTTGGAGTTCACCGCACTCATGGCCTTCTCATCCCTCTGGGAATTAGTGGTGCCGTTTACCAGGGATTATAACGCTTTACAGGTACACGCCAATGTGTTTCCGTACAAGACACGGAGCTTCAGTGATTATTAATAGTAGTTCCTGTGCAGGACGCCCTCAGCAACCTGGAAGACTATGACAAGACGTGCGTGGAATCAGCTCTGAATGGTGTCAGCAACGTCGTGCAGCAAGAGTGGGGAAGTGCTTGTCCCTGTCAGGTATTGTAATTAAAAGTCTCCACATGTATTTACGGCATCGTGTTTTTTGTTGATGTTGTTCCCCGTTGTGTCCATAAGGTGGTGCTAGTGACCGACGGATCTCTCGGTATTGGAAAAGGTTCCCTGCGTCACTCCCTGCAATCGCTCAGGCATCGCGGTGACGACAAGAAATTCCCTCTGCCCTTCCCCTTCCCGACCAAAATGTACATCATGTGTGTTGCCAACACGGAGGAGGTACGCTAGTCATCTTCGAATTTGATTGTCTTGATTTCCGTTTTGACTCTCTTCACTGTGAGCAAACCCAGAAAACAAGTGATTGGCGTCAGTTTCCTTTGACAGTAAGGGCACTGCATAAAATTTCAGCCTCCTTGGTCGGCTGAAAACGTGTGCATAATTCTGCTCAATTCTATTTCGACAAACGCAATATAAACCAGAATACCATGTTTAGTCTGCTGCAGGCACATTGAGTATATTATTGTAATTTTTGTCTAAAGACAATAAGCTTAATCACAGGTAGTTGTGATGTCAATTATGGGTATACTTTGAAGACTCTAGGCTAAATTAAGACAATAAAAACATGACACAAATTTGCACAACACAGTAAAGTTTCATATCCCCGTTTGTGCATCTCAATGATTTAAAATATTGTGGTTACCGGTTTGATGCTTTTAAAAAGTGCAGGTTTCAGTAACTTCTCAAACTATCTATCACTGAAGCCAGGAACAATATGATTGGTTGCTTGTTGATTTGTTTTTTTGTTTTTTTTTTTTGAAGAACTGATCCCTTTTTCTCACATCTCAAGACCATTAAAATCATCCATTTTGCTTGTATTCCAGTTGCAGATGACAGGTGCTTTGGACAAATGGGAGGAGCTTCTTTGTCTAGGTGGAGGTGACGGACAGGTCTTCACTGTGGAGGGCCCACTGTGCATGCAAGGTGTACAGGCCATGTTTGGGTACGGCTGTTGTTGTCCAAGGATTCACTAGTAATGTCAAATGTTTCCAAAATGTGTTGCATTTTCTTTGTGTGTCTCCAGGAGATTAATTGACAGGGCCTACTGCCCCTTCCATGCTGTCCTGCACTGCGGGAACTTATCCGCAGACGTTCAGGTGTTCCCTCGACCTGAGCCTGTGGTGGTGGATGAGGAGGTGGAACCTTTAGCCCGAACTGTCAATCCAGGTACGTTTGCTGCCAATGCTCGATAAAGTGCTCAAATGTTTCATCTGCTGATAACTTGGACAGCGTAACAGTTGAGCAATCAACTTCAACCAGTTCAACAAGTCTACAATGTATTAAGCATACCACGAGCAGGGAATCCGGTTTCTAACATTTGTAGGAAATGTAATTTGAAAATCGCAAATGGCTCATGCTGAGCTGCACATGAGCATTGTGCCCTATTTGTTGCAGATCTGGAAATCGTGGGCTTCATTGAAATCGCGGACATCTCCAGTCCTCCTGTCATATCCCGACACTTGGTGCTGCCTATCGCTGTCAACAAAGGTGAGTGTGCGCAGTTCTGTGTCTTATCTGCAGTCCCCTAATGTGTTTTGTTGGAGTACTTTTCCCTGAAAAAAAGAACACAATGTAAAGCTTCCAAATGACTTAATTGACATCATGGCGTTTGGTTTTTGCTGTTTCGTGACCTTCAGTGGAATTTGTCATTGTTGAACTGTTCGGTGAGATGGGCTCTCGAGTTTGCTCTTATCAATCTGTGCACGGGAATGTCAAACAATCCTTATCCAAGACAGTTTTTTTTTCTCTTTTATTTGTATCTTACCTCAACACAGAACAAAGTAGATTAAAAATGAAAACAAAAAGGCTTAATAGTAACTGCAGTAAAGTATAAGAGGGGCTCCTTATCAACCAAAGAAGACTTTTAGTCTGACTGGCCAGAACGCAAGTCTAAGCCAAGACGGAGGATTCTAATGCTTACAGCAGAGCTCTGGGTCATCATATACGTCTATCTTAGCTAGAGTGGAATGTATGCAGAATGACCGCGTACCTTCTGACCTCAAGCTCTTTTATACCGTTTATGAGTTACTGTATGTGACAAGGTATTGACATCTTCTGGTTGGTGAAGAGTTAATTGCCATCATGGTCGGCGGGCCAAAGATGGGTGGATTCCAACCGTAGGTGTCGAGGTGTCTGCGGTCGAGGTGTCTGTCGTCAAGCGACGCCGGTGTCTGCTTTGTGGTTGGTTGTCTCCATCCTCGAAAAACTCGAAGCGGTCTTGCGGTCGCCGGTTCACGTCATTTACAGCAACGTCTCGCAAAATGTGTTGCTTGCCTTTCACACTCTCCAACACTCAGACGCTACACAAAAAAACTTTCCTTTCTTCATCTTTATTGTCAGCCAAGCCACTAACAAAATTATATTATTTTACATATCTGCGCTTAAACAGTTTATGCATCTCTCATTAATCCTCCTTTAGGTCTCTGCGAGTAAGAGATCAAGGTCTTCCAAATATGCATTCAAGTTCACTTTTAAAACTTACATTCTATTTATTGCGATATTAACAAATAACAGAAAAGAAAACCTACCTTGGCGCGGATAAGAGGTTGTTCCTTCCCTCGGGCACCTTATCCATTGTGCCACATCGCAGCTTGATGGTGTTTAACGATGAACTTTGACTTTGTCTCAGATGTTGACGACGTTGGCACGGGCGGCGCAGATGAGCCGGAAGAGGAAGTGTCCGCCAGTCAAATGGCAGGGAAAAGTCCGAATTTCTGCGTGCTACTCCATGGCAGCCTAAAAGTGGAGGGCATGGTGGCGCTTGTCCAGTTGGGGTGAGACAAACGTGAAAAATCTGGTCGTGTTCAGAGTTGACTATACTAAGCAGTGATTCCCAAACATCGAGCTGTGATAAATTAAGGTGCTGTGGGTAATTACCCAATTTCACTTAGCTGATTCAAAAACAGCTTATTTTAATCAGAGATGATTTCATGTGTCCCTAAAGGTTTTTGTCGCTGATTTAAAAAAAAATTCTCGCATCTCAGGTTTTTTTTTTTTCTCCTAAAAAGGGTTGCGAGATACAGATTTTACCATGATTTGTAATCTATAGTTATGAGGTTTAAGAAAAAAAATTTCACCAGCTGCTTCACCAAACCGTTACTTCATAAATGTAACGAAATATATTACCGCATCAAGTCTTTTGTCTCATTTGGTTTACTATGGGAATTTGCTACTGTAAAGTGTGTGCCTTGGGTCAGATAAAGTTGGGAAACGCTGATGTTGAGATGTTAAGGTGATGTTAAGTCGTGAGTGATCTCAAGCTGGTCTATTTGTAACAGGCCGGAGTGGTTCGGCATGCTGTATTCGCAAGCCGACAGCAAGAAGAAGTCCAATCTGATGATGTCACTGTTTGAACCCAGTACTGAGCCTCTGCCTTGGCTGGGGAAGATTTCCCATTTGGGACCAATCTCAGGTAACACCCCCCACACAAATGTTGACCCCTTCTTTCCATTCGCGCTGGCCTCTTGAAGCTTTGTAAAACCTTCACTTGTGACACGCTTACCCTTCCAACACATTTTCGCTTCAAGGACAAAGGTCTTCCAGTATGTGAACATAATCAGGTTGTGTTAATCATTAAACGGCATCAATGTCAAATCATGGCTGCCATATATACTCTGTGTCTTACACCACAACTGAACCTCGTGCTTTCTTCCTGCCTTTCAGAGGCGGCGGAAAATCCCTATGGAGAGGACGACAGTAAAAGTCCTTTCCCCGTGCAGCCGCCCGTCAAACGAAGCTACGCTCAGAATGTCACCGTGTGGATTAAAGCAAGCGGACTACAGGTGAAGGTCTCCTGCTTGATGGCCGGGCTCATTAAAAGTGTCCCTAGAAGGGAAATTTAAACCATCATTCCCAAAAGGCATTGATGCATTGAAGATCCGTCTCATACGCCAAAACGATGCTTCGGAAGGAGAAAACTGTGTGGTGAATAAAAGTTAACTGCACAAAAAATGCATGTCATGTCAAGGCACAGGGATTTGATTTAAATCGTGACGAATCGCCCGAACCCCAATCGCCCAAATGCCCAAACCCCAATCGCCCTAACCCCAATCGACCAAACCCCAATCGCCCTGACCCCATTGGGGCTTCCACTAAAGACCTAACAGGAGGTTCAGTAAGACCTGATAAAAACACGCATCTCTCCATTTTTAAATCGGAAGAAAAAAACTTTTAGAGTTTTGGACAAAACAAAAAAGAAACGTTTAAAGATCATTGATTCTTATTGGGCGGTTAGCACCAATTTGAGATTGTTTTTATCCCCTTAAAGGAAAAGTCACGTCAAAAATGTTCTTGAGAATAATAATTTCTATCTGGTCTCACTAGCCTAAAAATTGAGTTCTGATTAATAGTCAGTTTGTGGAATATGAATGAAGCAGTGAAATCTATCTCGGGGGTGGGGGGGGCTAATTTATCACCTGCTGTCGACTGAACATGACATCACATCGCCTCAGGGCTCAGTTTACGAATGTCACATGACCAAATCCAAAAAAAGAGATGAGCCGTGATTGGTTGTTTTCTGAGCACGCGGCAGGACGAAATAAAGTGGCCGAGGCGGAATATGCTTAATTCATATTCCACAGACGGAATATTAATCATACTGTTCAGAACATTTATTTCCCCTGTAATAGAACATTTTAAGGTAATCATTTTACATTTGTTTCAGACTGATGTCCAAAAGATTCTGAGGAATGCAAGAAAACTACCTGATAAAACACAGACCTTCTACAAGGTAACATTGCACCGCATGTTTTTTGTTTTGGGTTTTTTTTTTTTTTTGGGTTAACTATTAACCATTTATTAAAAATATTCCCAGGAGCTGAACCGTCTGCGGAAAGCTGCTTTGGCTTTTGGATTCTGGGACCTCCTCAAAGGAGTGGCCGAGCTGCTGGAGCGGGAGTGCACGCTGCTGCCCGACTCGGCTCACCCTGATGCCGCTTTCCAGCTTTCGCACGCCGCCCAGCAGCTCAAGTTGGCCAGCACCGGGGATTCCCAATACGCCGCTTTTGAACACAACATTGTCCCCATGCACACTGACTTCTCAAGCTGAGCCACGTTTGACTTTGTGGGGAAAAAACTGTGTGGACTGAGAGTGATGTGGTGAACACCTTGTCACTTCCAGGGACATCGGCTCCGGGAACCTTGTATGTGGAACAGCAATGGTGTGGAGAAAAAAAAAACATGTTTTTATACTCTTGTTAGCAAAGTATTTGTCAAATCACTTTGAGAGTTACATGAAGTGTTTACAATGGTGGACTTCAATGGGCAGACAAAAGCAGAATGACAAAAAAAAATAGCGCTGGTTTGCAGTTTAATTTTCCCTGACACCTGTGGGATACTAATTCACAAATGAAGCGCAATACATTGCAGCAGAAACATTGGAATTTATGACCAGCCTCATGAAATGAATACTAAATCCAGTACCACTAATTGTATCTGTAACGTGAATTCAGAAAGAATTACACGTGTGAAGATAACAGCTAAAAATGCGTGCAAAGACGTAACTAGTATTCAAATATGGAGATGGAAGAGTAAGGAGGTGGGGAACGGGGGTTTAATGTCAGCGTTTCTGGCCATTTTAGAACGCCTCGTTGTCCCTGGCGGAATCTATTGCGGCACCAGAAGCTTTCAGCAGATTCATTGTTTGTGGATCAAGCAGTATGTGTAGGAATAGGAAAGACAAAGTAGCGTTTATTTTTTGACAGTTAAGCAGAGCATGGTTTCAACCCGTTCAGTAAACACACCCATAGCGTTGAGTGTGCAGACCATTGCTTTATTTTTCCGATATTTTGAAGCTTCGTTTTGTATACTTTGTGATTTTTTTTTTTAATCATTTCGCAAAATTTAAACATTTCGCAGCGTTAACACTTTTTCAGTGTTGTGTAAGGTTAAAAAAATACACTTTCACTTTCCTGGGACATCAAGGAAACACGCAGACTCACAGTAAAACGGTTGTATTTGGTAGTGCAAATAAACCCTCAAGGGAGGAAGTTAAGAAAACACGGTAAGGCGCCTGTAAAAATGAGACCATCTCAAACAAACGTTACGAAACAAACAGGCAGCACAGGCGCGTGAGGAGCGACGCATCAATGAGCCTTTCTCTTCGTGGCGCGGAACCGCCTCTGCCTTTGCTTGTAGAGATGACGAAAGTTGAGAAAAAGTCCTGCAAGAAGGGATGAACAAGATACTTCAGATTGCTCTTCAGAGATGTCATATTTTGTTCCAAAGTGCACGCTTGCCTAGAAACATGAGCACGAGGTGCACACGCAGGACATTGGAGAAGCTCAGTGATGTGCCGAGAGCCCTTGGCAGAGGAATGCTGAACAGGTTGGTTTTGTCAAAGATGGGAATGGACTGGGCCACGGCGACGGCTGTTTGGGGAGGGACACTTGTGTTTGGATTTCATCACTGGTTCAACTTTCAGACGGGTGAACGCAAACGTACCCTCGGCGAGAGCACCTAACGGGTAAAGGGGCATCCAGAGGGAGTATCGCAACCATGTGAGGATTTTCCACTCGGTGTTGAAGCATCCCAGCATGTAGAATGGATACCTGCGGCAAAGACTCATTAGCATTTGCATTATTTCGACATTATGCCTTCTGATACACTAGAAAGTCATATGACCTCACTGGTAAAACATAAGTTGACCTTTTTGAGGACAGGTGCTCAGAGGTGGGGAGCAACATTTTACATTGACTTGTCAGTAAGACTTTTCACTTTGGAGTATTTTGGTCAAGAAAAGCGGTGGAAAATGGATGGTCGAGAAAAATGCTACCTTTAATCTGTTAACTTCATTCTGCGACTTTTGTTTCTATCTGTTACCGTTCGGCTATTTGTTTTAATTTGTCGAAGAGACTTGTGCCTCAAGCGCTGTCACGCAGCCGCTTCACCAACCCGACTCCCGATATTGACTCTTGTTTTCGACAATCAAACCCAGCCAGGCGGTCACATCAATGCAGACGGGAGCCACGGTTGCACCCAGAAGCAAATGCAAAGCATGCGACAAAACAACAATGACTTGAGACTCGTAGTCAGAAGAGGTACAACACCTCCGGCGTCACATTCAATCGAAGTTTACCTTACACGCTGCAAAAAAAGAACAGTTGTCAACAACTATCATCTGTGCCTGCCTTAACATGTCCACATTTCAGCCGACAGGAACTCCCAACTCAAAGCTGTGCTGTTTCAAAAGTTATGACCCTTTCTCATAGCTGAATTTGATTTGAGATTTTTCAGAAATACCTGAAATAAGATTTCAAGTTTGTATTTTTTCCTACTTGATATTCATGCCCTTATTAAAAAATATGAAAAATCCAAAGTTATTCACCAGTTAATACTTCTAGTAGTTTTTTTCACTGACCATCTACTTAATATTTAAAATTGTTTGTAATATTTAATGGGTAATTTAAGTCATATTCGAGAGAAACAGTACTTGAGTACTGTTTTTAGTTGGTCTGGACGCGCTTCAAGAAAATAAATGGATGGCCAGATTAAAAGAAAAGTTGCATTTTATTTTTTGGGTGGAATAACGCTCCTTCTCCATTGACGACAGATGTGTATGCTTACCTAGTTAAATGCACAGTGAGAAGTCAAAATAAGCAGTGTTCAGAAAATGACCTACCTAAATATTTCAATGGCACCCGCCTCTGCAAGCGCTTCAAGAAAATAAATGGATGGTCAGATTAAAAGAAAAGTTGCATTTTATTTTTTGGGTGGAATAACGCTCCTCCGTTGACGACAGATGTGTATGCTTACCTAATTAAATGCACAGTGAGAGGTGAAAATAAGCAGCGTTCAGAAAATGACCTACCTAAATATTTCAATGGCACTCCACAGATAGAAAACAAAGAAGACCACCGGCTTATTCTGCATTTCTTCCAAGCAACCAAAAATAACGAAGAGGACGAAATTCCTCCCAAACAACTATTAAAGAGAGCGAGGATTACGTTGAGACAAATGTTCGTATTATTTCCAAAAGATTTCACGTCGTCAGACAGACCTGTATAAGATTTGGGGTCACACTTGTCCTGACCAGCCCAAAAGCAGCGTTGAGGACCTCGACAACTGCCAGGATCTGGCAGAAGAACATGACGCTGGAAATGGTGTGAAATGTGTCGTAGAAGGAATCTGAAATATGATGCGAGCAGCGTTAGTGTGGCTATCATGCGAGAGGAGGGGGGGGGGGCAAGCATGCACACGCAGTCTCACCTTGACCAAACTTTAGGAGGCGAATGGTCATGTTGACAAAGATCCACGAAAAGCCAAGAAACTGCACCAAGTTGTATGTAAACAAAAACCCTGTTTTCAGACTGATGGACCCTAAAAGGCAAAAAAAAAAAAAAAAAAAAGCATCCATGACTATTTGCCAAGGTCAAACTTTAGCCAGTTGCAGATGGAGAAACTTTTGTCCACGCTCACCTTCCTCATCATGCCGCGAAGCCTTTCGTCTGATTTTTCTCTCCTCCTTCGCAAAGTACAAGGCAATTTATTCACACCAGCTAATCGTTTCTCTTTTTCTGTCTTCACAAACTACAGTGGTACCCTTACAAATTTAATTTGTTCCGTGGCCAAGCTCGTAACATAATTTAATAGCATCCCAAAATATCGTTTAAAAAATGTTGACATTTGCTAGGTGTGTTATGATGACTGTCTCCATGGCTGACAAAACGTTATTCCCTGCGAACTATATCTTCTGCCTCTTATCCACCCATTAAACTCATTCAGTACCAGCCAATTCTAGCCCCCCTTTTTTTTTACCCTAAGTCTTGGAAAAATTGAAGAAAAAAAAAAAGTATCTGCGGTTGAACGTGACATAATTTTCGGTGTAAAAATGGCCGCTGTTTCATTTGAACACTCTCGAGATCTTGTATACTTTAAATGCAACTCTGCAAAGGACAAAGTATTGTAAAACAGTCAAAGGTTATGCCTGTAATTCATTTCATTATTCTTTTTTTTCTACCAAATATCGGAAATGGCATTGGCCTACAAAAAATATATATATCAAGGTACCATTGTGGCAGCTCATTGCTCACCTTGATCTCCATCTCGGCGTCCGACTCGTCGAGCCAGCAGTCGAAATCAGGAGCCAAGAAGAGCGGCTTGCGTTCCTGTTTGGTCAACCTTTCCCACCATCCCCACTGTTCTTTCTTCACGCTGATGTTCACCTGACGCTGAGTGGACCTGTAAGCCACCTGCACACATCCCACAAAGTCAGTTAGGAGGCAAGGACATGAACATGAACATGGACATGGAAGGAGTACCTCAGATGCCTGTGCTTTTACAGGTAAAAGAAACTCCAGGGTGAAGTCGTACAGGTGCTGACCTTTCGCCCCATGGCCCTGGGCTACACACACAAAATATGAAATATGCCCCCCAAAAGAGGCCCCGCAACCCAACAAGCATCAGCAACGTAAACACCACACGTAAACACCACAGACGCACAGAAACGTCACCTTGAAAGTGAAGGATGTTTTCATGCACGTGGACGTCAATGTTCTGCAATGAGAAAAAGCAAGTTTAGGCCCATTCATACGAAGATATAATAATACATTTTATTTGTGGGCGCCTTTCTAAGAACTCAAGGACACCTTACAACAAGCAGTTAAAAAGCACAAGATATGAGCAACTTGACCCATCTCCCTGTGACGTAATGGTTACGTGTTACGGACTCCCTCAAGTCAGTACTGCTGTAGTAAATATTTATCCCCGGCTTCAGTTTTCTGACTCGAAAAACATCAATGGCAGTTACAAGTTTACCTGAGCGTCAGTCAGCTCCACGCGAAGGAAGATTTCCTCGTGGCGTTGAGCCCAGTAAACAAGAGGCGTCAATGTCATTATTGTTTTGTATTAGTCAAATTGTTCTAAATCAAACAAAAGACAAGACGATGTCTCCGTTCCGCATGCAAGCTGTTGAGCAAGCGGCCAGAACATTCCACAAACGGGCGCGTTCTCGCGCTGTCATCTCCGAGACGTGCGTGAGCGAGATAGAGTTACGCTACATCCTCCTCCACTGTGATTGGCTGGCTCGTTCTACTCGACTCCCGATTGGTCGCTGTCGTTTATTTGCGGAAGTTGAAACGATGCGAAAGAATCCACAAACGTAGACTACAAACCGTTTTGGAAAACAAAAACAAGGGTAAGGAGCGTTTCACCTTCGGTAGTCTGTCAATATGCAGACGGATGAAGATGATTCTCAGCCTCCAAGCGACTTGGTGAAGACAACCGGGACATTTTGTGTGCTCGTTGGAGTGACCGGGAGCGTAGCTGCCCTCAAACTTCCCGTTTTGGTCTCTGAACTTCTTCATTTCCCCGGGGTGAGTTTTTTTTTAACTAGTAAAGTTCTATGAGTTCTTTGGCTACGGACTGAGTCTAATCACCATAGCAACATAAAACAAAGTCACATATGAAAGCAGGAGACTTTTTTTCAACTGTCACTGATAATCTACCCACACAAAAATCCATCCATTTTTGACTCTACTCTCCAGTTTACTGGGGTTTGTGTTGTCTATAGAGAACTAAGTCAGAGGCCAACATTGGATATTTTCTTGTTCAGGTGGATGTAAGAGTGGTCACAACTCAGCATGCCCAGCACTTTTATAACCCTGAAGAAGTGTCAGTAAAGGTCTACAGTGACAAAGATGAATGGGAGGTAAGTTTTTCTAGCACGCAAAATAATGAAAGCGGTCGGCATTATTTTAATTAGTTTATAACGCGGCATTTTAATATAGTATAATGGAGTGTTGGAGGTGGAATTTGGCCGGGGCGCAAATCTAGCCAAGTCTACCTCTGATCAAAGTTGTGGTGACTTTCTAACTAGGGATGTGGCTGTGTTCCGAAATAACCTATCATTCTCAAACTCATATTAACTCATTCACTGGCAGCCCAGTAAAAATGGATTCCCACTTAACGCGAGACTGAATGTGAACGTGTCACATCACAGTTATGAGGTGAACACATTTGTGCAACCATTCTTCAGTTGTTCATTTTTATTTGCGCTCTTTTTTCTTTTCAATTGAATTGTACAGGTTATAGGGTCACATTAATGCCCCAAAAGTTTTGAAATGATTTGTCTTTTGCCTGAGAGACTTTAGTTGTCTCCTTCACCGTGAGTCATGTCGATGAATTGTGTTTTTGTTCTAGTTGTGGAGTCAGCGGTCTGACCCGGTGCTTCACATTGAGCTCAGACGCTGGGCAGACCTTCTCGTCATCGCCCCCTTAGATGCAAACACGCTCGGAAAGATCGCTAGCGGCATTTGTGACAACCTGCTGGTGAGAGCCGTGAATGTTGGAACCATTTTGTTTTCATTTTTTTTTAACATGAATTTCAGATGACTAAGCATTTATCATTTTTCAGACGTGTGTGGTGAGAGCCTGGGATACCAGTCGCCCTCTCCTCTTCTGCCCTGCGATGAACACCGCTATGTGGCAGCATCCCATCACAGCCCAGCAAATACACAAGCTGAAAGAGTTTGGCTATGTGGAAATCCCCTGCATTGCAAAGAAGCTGGTGTGTGGAGACAAAGGTGTGTGTACAATCATACCACAAAAAAAAAAAAAACGAAAGGTATGAGAGGGGACAAAAGGAGTCTGATACTTGGGATTTTTACGACCGCACCTGTTTTTGAGAGAAAGCGAGACACAGTCATCGTTTTGTGTTTAGTTTCGCTTTTGTAAGTTTACACTCAAACTGCAGCTGTCCTAAGTGGCCTACAAGTCCATGCGTGCCCCGATGACAGCCACAACAGTGCAATTGCGATCGATTCAATGCCCTGAGAATACAATGAACACGGATAGATGGTAAGATCGCGTCTTTTAAGCATACAGGAAAATGTACGACCTCAACGGATCCTCCAAAATGTAAAGTACAAATTGTCAAATGCAAACAGATGCAAATAAATTTGCACTGGGCAAAGTTAAAATGTAAAATGTTGAATAATGATGAGCGCACGTTCCGTCTCAATCTTATTTGTTCTTGTTCAATTTATTGCAGGCAAAGGCGCCATGGCAGAGGTGTAGGCCAAGTTAAAATGTTGAATAATTATGAGCGCACGTTCCGTCTCAGTCTTATTTGTTCTTGTTGAATTTATTGCAGGCAAAGGCGCCATGGCAGAGGTGTCGACTATCATCTCTGTTATCAAGCAATACCTTCAGCAAACCAGTGAGCCATCTCCCCAAACATGACGGCAGGCAACACTTTGACCTTTGAACTTGGATCACTTCACCAAGTGTGGCCTCTTTGGCACCCCAGACTCGAACTGCCAACCTCAGAACTGTGAGCCAGATGTCCTAACCACTCATCCGTCAAGCCACAGAGATTTAATATTAAAAAGATGGACTTTTAACACGTGATTAACTCCTTAAAACTTAACATAATTAAGACAGATGGAATCAAAGTATGCAAATGCATTCCAAGGAAATATTGGGACATGCGATTGTGTTTTTAATCTATCATCATATTAGGCAAGCTTAAAAACAACAAACTTCCATATTTTGTTCATTGGAGTCATGGTGATCGGCAGGCAACACTTTGACCTTTGAACTTGGATGATTTCATCAAGTGTGGCCTCTTTGGCACCCCGGACTTGAACTGCCAACCTCAGAACGGTGAGACAGATGTCCAAACCACTCAGCCGCCAAGCCACTGAGATTTAACACGTGATTAACTCCTTGAAACTCTTTGAACGTGATCAAGACAGACGGAATCAAAGTGTGCAAATGCATGCCAAGAAAATACTGTACTAGGACATGCAATTGTGTTTTTTAATCCATCATCATATTAGGCAAGCTTCAAAAAAAAAAAAACTTCCATATTTTGTTCATTGGAGTCATGGTGATTGTCGACATTATTGCAGGCCACCTTCGGATGTTATAGATTTGTCCTGTTCTTGGTTTACGTTAAAATGATGACATTTTTACTCATGGACTCGGCGTCATTCAAAAGACAGCGGGCAGTTGAAGTGAAAAATTCGGATGTTATAGATTTGTCCTGGTCTTCGTTTACGTTCCAAGTTCTGACATTTTTACTCATGGACTCGCCGTCATTCAAAAGACAGCGGGCAGTTGAAGTGAAAATGACATTTTTCTTGTAACCTGAGAAAGCTTCCTCACCCCGAGGTGGTATCTGCTATCAGTTGGGCCATAACTCAGTCCTTCCCTCCCTAAAACAAGGCTAACTCTCCCAACTCATTAGCGCTGTTGATTTACGGACATGGGAAGTGAGCACAGTGCATACCAAGGGCCCGCAGACCCACAGAATACAAGGTGTACGCCATTCTTTGAACAAGGATAGCTTTAAAACGCCCGGAATTGATAAGTAATGAAACATTTGCATGAGTTGGAGATGGTCTTTAAGCTGTGTTTGAAACTGTTTTTTCTGTGAGCCAACTCAGAAACTCGTCTTGTGATTCTGTTGCTGCTGTGGTAAGACGTCTTCATGAAAGAACTTCTCCCAGTTTGTGAGTGCCTTTCACGGTGAAGGAGACAGTTCTCTCTCGGGCCTGAACGCTAGTGATTTTTTTTTCAATGCCAATTTCAATATTTGGGAGAATAGAATTAAAGTTCCAGCAGAGAGAAAAATCGGCCATGTTTTTTTCCATCTTTGTCTTATTTTATAATGTTTTCATTTGTAAAGATGTTAAGATAAGAAAACCTTTATTAGTCTCACATTTGATACCAGAAAATTGACTGATGGAGTATAGACAAAAAAGTTATCATGTTTAAAAATTTCATTTTGTTGTATGCTTGATTGACCTCGAACGCGTGTGTTTAGAGCACACGGAAAAAAGGGCCAATTTGAGCTGAATGAAACTGAGGCCTTGTTAACTGATAGTACAGACAGGAAGGTTCAACTTCGGGTGGGCAACACGATAAGATGTCCTTGAGTTTGTTACAATGTCTCAATTCATGCGACATACCTTGAAGTCACAAGGTATCCATTGTTTTTGTACCGAGAGATGTTTTGGCCTCCAGGTGCCCACTGAGGGGCGTATTGGTGGACTGGGCTGAGAGGCGTGACGTGTAAATGAAGAAGGGAGTGTTTTTCTGATACATCACTTGTAATTTGCATACACGATCAATAGAAAGCCGCAGAGGCTGCAGAGGTCAGGTGTCAGTTAAACATTTCAAGGTGGCGCTGGTGAGCCTATTTATTTATTTAATTCCAAAATAAAATACAATATTGGTGATTTTGCCACGCCTGATGTGTGTGGAAAGTTTCATGAGTTTTTGTGAATGTTTCGACCCTCAAAAATGTCATGAAAATCCAGGCTTGAAGACATCTCTGAATTTATTTTTCAACAAAGTGGTAGTGCCACCTAAAGGAAAGAAGTGTTTATTTTTGGGGGGGGGTTGCCTTGCTGTGGCAACGCGCAGTTCTCAAAAATACGACGCTAATTTTAAGGGTCTAAACATTCACAAAAACTCATGAAACTTTGCACACACATCAGGCCTGGCGAAATCACCAATATTTAATTGTTTTTTATTTTGGAATTTTAAAAAAAATGGCCCACCAGCGTCCGTTGTATTTTTTGGAGAACTGCGCGTTGCCACAGCAACAACGTTTCATGAAAACTCACAAATTTCGTGTTTTAACATCTTCTGAGCAAATATGAAGTAGATCGGCTTATCCTGAACGGCAAAAAAAAAAAAAAAACTAAACATTTCCTTTAGGTGGCGCTACCACTATGTTGAAAAATAAGTTCGGAGATGTCTTCAAGCCTGGATTTCAAATAAGAGAAATTTTGGATAAGATAGGATCACGTGGGTCAAGTAAAAGCAACGTTTATCGTCACGCTCAATCATCAAGACTTTGCGACAGCCGAGTCCTTTGCCGTAAAGTTACAATATTTGGCGTGGAGCAAGATCAACACCTTGAGGCTTTGATGACAATTTATAGGTTGGATTCATTTCATGGCGTCCGTGCACTACTTTAGGCGCTGCTCGGGCCTGAATCATAATTTCGACAAAAACAGTAGTGACCTTGCAGTGGTCACTGCTTGGGCCCTAATTAGAAGTGGAGACAATGCGCAGTTTTGGTACAGATTTTCGCAAACATGACATGGACTCACGTGATTAGCCAATTCATTCAAAGGGGGAGTTTGCAATTTAAGAGTCTTTTTTTTTTTTATATACCGTACACAGTACCTCGAGATCACTTCTCTCATGAATTGTCTCTATATAAACATTCATTCAACTCAAGATTCTTACCGCAGTGCCTTAAGAGGACTTAAACTTGACAGAAGACGTTTGTTATGTTGTCCATGTCAATATTTGTTCACCATCAGGTGCATGTGCGTGCTGTGTTGTGTGTCGTCTGATGCAACTTCTTCACGCGATGAGGTGTTCTATTCATGGGGGGAATGATGCAGGATGGTTTCATCAGACGTGATATCCTAAGAGAGCGCCTGCTCTTCTGCAGTGTGTCACACATGAGTCTCTTGATACACGTTCTAAATCTGTTGTGTACAATATTTATTTCATACACCCATTGGAGTTCAATTTTAAAACTCTTAAAAAAAAAAAGGGCCAGAGAGCCAAATGAGGGGCAGAGATAACACCGTGATTTGCTGGAGTCCTAAAACTGAATAGATTTTAGACTTTCAGACTGATCAATTCATTTTTCGTCTGTTCTTGAATTTCTTTTGAGTCATGTCATTTTGTTGTAGCTTTTTGAGATCTTTTGGCTGACTCTGTCAAACAGGTTCCATTTGATTCTGGATGTAATCAAGCTTGGGTGCGGTTAGTAAAAATGGACTCTTTAGAAAAATGTGATTAGCCAGTTCAGGATTTAACAGAAGGGGGTGGCGGGGGTATTTTTTTTTTTTTTTGCTCAGGGCCAGGTCGCTTTTGTTTTATTTTCTTAATAAAATCACCTTTTAAAAACTGCATTCACGTTTGCTTGGGATTGTGTTTAATATTGACATGTTTGATTTTCAACAGGGGAAATTGTGCGAGGGGAAAAAAAAAACAAACAAAAAACGTCAATACAAATTGTGGGCGTACACTACTTTGGATCATTTTCAATGCAAACCAAAATCAAATATCCTCACGCCGTTTAATGATTGACTTGTATTGATGGGAATGAGGGGAATAGTTCAAAGTTTTTCAGGTGATTTGATCCTTTTCCCAGATATTTTCGTCCTCGGCGATGAAGCTCCAAAGCTCAAATATTTAACAACTAAATGTTGCATGTCACTATCAGCCCCATGATGCCTTGTGTTGCTTGGCCTCGGGCACTGTTGCCATCGTAACGGGAAGTGCGGAACTGCTCTGATGGGAAAAGCCCGTCCTCTCCTCCTTGGTATAAGACCCCCCCCC